TCTCTCTCCCTCTCTCTCTCTCTCTCTCTCTCTCTCTCTGTCGCTCTCTCTGTCTCTATCTAGATCTATCTCTCCACAAATCATGTGACTTAATCGTTTACCGTTGTTTCAGTCTGCTAAGGTTAATGGCCATCTTCTTTTGTTTTATTCTTCCCCAGAGAGGAAGAATGACTGCAAGAGTTTTAAAGTGCAAAGTGCAGACTGGTCAACATTTCAAGTCGATGCAATAAGCAACACCCACTTTATGAACGCCATCAGACGGCTCAACAGTGACATGTGGTCACCTACACTTTCCCAACAGTGATATATGGTCACCTACACTTTCCCAACAGTGACATGTGGTCACCTACACTTTCCCAACAGTGATATGTGGTCACCTACACTTTCCCAACAGTGACATGTGGTCACCTACACTTTCCCAACAGTGATATGTGGTCACCTACACTTTCCCAACAATGACATGTGGTCACCTACACTTTCCAAACACTTGCATGTAGTCCCTACACTTTCCCCAACACCTACACTTTCCCATCCACACCCCAATCTCTTCGCCCTGCTGTGGAGACATGACTGTTCTTCCAACTGCTGCAGAAACCAGAGGGAATGACAAGTACAAGTCCCACAGACCTGCAAGTTGGAAGAATGTTTCGGTGCTGTGCTCATGCTTCACGGGATTGACGCATCCTTATTATCACGCTGTCCTTTACTTCTGTCTTGTCTTCATAAACTCTTATGCGTTGAATTTTATAGGATTTTGTTTTTCATTGTTCAGATTGGTTCATAGAGAACAAAAAGAATAATGTGCCGTCTCTTAGGTGTTTTTCGGTGATTGAAGATGTTTATTTCAACCATTGTGGTCAGATTTGGGATAAGAAACTGTTTTGGGGGATTTTTGTTGTTGTTGTTGTTGTTGCTGCTGCTGCTGGTGGTGTTGTTGTTGTTGTTTTTTTGGGGGGGTTGTTATTGTTTGTTTGTTTTTGGTCTATTTTTGGGTAGTTTTTGTGTTCTTGTTTTTGTTTTTGGTTCTTTCAAAAAGAAAAGTGGTCGTTCAAATCAATCCCGTGTTGAGTGATTGAAGGCGAGTCACTCTCGACGAATTCTTCAGCAGGATGACGTAAAAGCAGGGTTCGGCAAAGTCTCATTGTGTGTACACCTTGAAGAAGTCTCCAGTCACCTTTTGACTGTCGGAAAACCTTCGCATCGAACTGGACAAGACGTTACAGATTTTTCTTACCTGATAATCTAAATGGAATTTAATCAAAAATGTTAGGCTACATGTCATCTTGTACCATCTTTATAAACCGGTCACAGATTCTGAATTGACCGGCTTCCACATTCAAGCAGGGGTACAAACGGGGGGGGGGGGGGGGGGGGCGTTTTCAAAATTCATCTCATGAAACTAAACGCGAATGGTTAAGAAGAGACAGACACAATAATTCCTGCCTGCCATCTTTTTCTTGCCCCGGAAGTAAGATGCTCTGTGTGGCTGAGAACCATTTAACTGAGCAGTCGTCACTATCAATACCAAGTGTCATATATGCGACAGACATCGACGATCAAGGTTTGACTCTTCAATCCTCTGCTCGGATATTATTGTGAGTACAGGAGTACTGCCCTGGGTTTCTGTCGGTCAGCGTCCGGTGATACATCTAGCCTATCTTGTGTCAATGTGCTCTTATTTCGCACCTCGCCATGCGTGGGCGAACATCACTTCCCCAGAATCACACAGTTCTATCTCAACTATCTGCTCAGTACCTAGTTTTGAGGAAAAAAATTGATGTTTGAAATTTTGAATTTCACACCATGTCAAGTTTTTTTCGAATGCACTTCTTTGAATGTCTCGATAACGACGCCGAATAATCACATTATTTTGATAGAGCAGAGAGAACTTTAATTTGGTTTTTTTGTCGTTTTAAAAACATATTTTGGTCTTAGTACATCAGAGCCGTCAAAACTGTCAGACAGAACTTTGTAATTCTAAGATATCGATATTTCGACAAACATGTGGATCAGGCAGAGAGAGGAAGGGGGTGGAGAAGACATTAAGAGCTGTTCACAATCAGAGAGACGACCTCTGAGAACGGGAGCCCCCACCCCCACCC